CCCCACAACATCCATAGCCTTAAGGAACTCCGGGCAGATCTCATCCACCCCTGAAGCCTTGCCACATAGGAGCTTTTTTACCACCTCAGTAACCTCAGCACCAGAGATTTGAGAGCCCAACTCAAAATCCCCAGACTCTGCTTCCTCACTGGAAGACGTGTTGGTGGGATTGAGGAGGTCTTCGAAGCATCTGCCCACTAGGGCTGGGGGTAAACGATTATTTTTAAAACGATTATTCTGACGATTATTTTATCGAATAGTCGACTATTCTAATGACTATTTAGAAAATTAATCTAATGAATATTTTTCTATTGCACAATTAACAAAAACCAGAAAATCTCAAATAAATTCCTCAAAAAAAAAAAGATAAATTCTTACTGTAAGAGAATAAACACTACAGGCCTTCCATTTTGTATAACACTGCTTTTATTGTGTTGCGGTTGGTTATGTTCTGGTGATGTGTAGAACTTGGGAGTGCAGGCTGCTGCCTGAGAGGTGGTAGAAGATGGAGTGTCTCCATGCTGCTTTGTTTTGGTCACTTATGAGCGTGAGGCGAGTGGTGTTACGACGCTTCCTGGGGAGTTTGGCTCGTGTGCAAAAAGGAAGGGACAATAACGGGATTTAAAAGTTAAAATGATGATCAGGTTTATTTACAACTACAAAAAATCATAAATCTTTCCATCCACAGGTTGGGAATAATAAAACTAATTCTGCCTGTGGGGAATTAAAACAAAGTACAAATAACTAGGGATGTCCCACTGGGCAAAGACTACTGGGTTCTGGACCAAAATAAGGATCTCCAAAAGTCCAAACTCTAAACTGGGTGGTTAAAACAAACTCAAGGTGATATTTTACACTAAACCGAAAACCCACAACACTCTAAATGTAATAAAAGGGAGATCTGCACCACAAAAAAGATGAACTCTAAACCAAAACGTAACAGCTTATCCCAACGCAAGAAGCTGTTAGCGAAGATGCTAACAGTAGCTTTACCAGCGTTAAGTTCAAGTTACCAAGTTTAAATAAAACAAAAACACCCAGCAGCAAACAGACCAGCATGGAGGAGAGACTGCTACCACCAAAACAGCTCTCCTAATGTCTGAAAGAAGCTCCTTAATGAAGGGAGAAACGCTCCCGGTGATGTCCTACATCTGTGGTAGAGACGAAGCAGCGCATCTGACCCCAGAAGTTGTTGTACGTTGCCGGGAGTCGAAGGCGGGCAACACAGGAAAATAATCTAGTAGTGGACGGACATTGTTCTGGGTCTTCGTTATTTGGCGGAGATGCTAGTGAAGGCGGAGAAGAGGGCGAACTAGAGGAAAAACAGGCAGATTCCTCTTCTATTTCCAAACTCCTGGGGATGCAACAAGTGGGCGCGGTGCGTCGACTTCCGGATCTGACGTCGACAAATTTTTAGAATCGAGCCGTCGACGTCGTCGAGGCTTCGCTACAGCCCTACTGCCCACCCATCCACAACGTCCTGAGTAAAGGTCAGCAGCACACCGTCCCCACTATAGATAGTGTTGGTAGTGCACTGCTTTCCCCCTGAGGTGCAGGATGGTGGACCAGAATCTCCTCGAAGCCGTACGGAAGTCATGCTCCATGGTCTCACCGAACTCCTCCCATGCCCGGGTTTTTGCCTCGGCGACCACCCGAGCTGAGTACCGCTTGGACTGCTGGTACCCGCCAGCTGCCTCTGGAGTCCCACAGGCCAAAAAGACCTGATAAGACTCTTTATTCAGCTTGACAGCATCCCTAACCGCCGGAGTCCACCAGCGGGTTCAGGGGTTGCCACCACGACAGGCACCGACGATCCTGTGACCACAGCTCCGGGCGGCTGCCTCAACAATGCAGGCACGGAACAGGGTCCATTCAGACTCAATGTCCCCCGCCTCCCCCGGAACATTTTGGAAGTTCTGTCGGAGGTGGGAATTGAAGGTCCTCACCACCAACTCACCACCAGGTAGTGGTTATTTGCCAGCTCCGCCCCTCTCTTTACCCGAGTGTCCAAGACATGCGACCAGGGTCTGAAATTAACACTCGCCGCTCACCAAATGCGAGCAAATTGCTCCATTTGGCGAGTAAACTTTTGAGCTCTATCTGCCACATGGCGAGTAAATGTTTGCACCAAATTAGTTATGTTTATCAGTCATCTTCCATGGATTTCTGTGATACTCCTCCCGCCTGCACGCAACGTACACAAACGTACGCGAAACGTGAGCGCCGCATCCAACGTCATTTCCACCTATCCCATTCAATCAGTTTATCAAGTTAGCAGTTAGCTTCGTGTTAAAACTAGCGGTGAAATGTGGCGGTTTTTAACTGGAGTCAGCCAGCCTTCCAAAAGAAAACTCGTCGAACTGGAAGAAAAACCACCAGGACCAGTGGCAACCAGAAGATTTTGTGAAAAGTGGCGAACTGGAGATGGCAGAGTCGTGAGACAATGGCTGCATTATGATGGCCACGTAGCGTTGCTGCCTTTCACAGACAACTGTCCCTCGGCATTCTCCAAATATCCAAAAAATGCCTGTACTTCCGACTTTGTCTTCTTTGAGGGATAATAAATGTCCCGAGTGCTGCCGTCTCCTCTGGCCATTATTTCAGCTTTAGCTGAAAGAAACTTTTGGTCGTAAACAACAAAGTGCGCATGTGCCGCCGGCAACTTCAGCAGATGATACGGTCGCTGGTAAGGGTCACCGCGCCTACGGTAATCCACCGAGATATATATTTTTTTAAACAAGACGGTTATTATTATTGTCAACTTTTTTACCTGGGTTTACTGCTACACCAGTTACCGTGACAACCCTAGCCCTGACACTTTCAGATATTCTCATGGTGCAGCTGTGTTCTCCAGAGATCAAGGACTATGACCCAAATGAGGCTGTAATGCTTTGGCACAAAGACGGTGTCAGAAGCAGGAGGCCAGACTTCATGGACAGAGAAAACAAGGAGTCTGACTAGATTTCAATGAAAGAGTTCATAAAAACATCTCTAAAAATAAATAAATAAATAGTAAAAATAACAAAAGACTTGTTTTTCTTATTAATTGATGTTTTAATTATTTTGTCACTCTGTTTGGAATCAACATAATATAGAATAACATGCTTTAGGTCACATATGTCAGAGTCAAGGCCAGATGCAGCCCGCGGAGCATTTTTATGTGGCCCGCGAGATAAATATCAAAAATATATTAAAACTGGCCCGCTGGCCGATTTTACCGCAAAGACTTCAACTCCCATGATGCTTTGTGGTGTCAGCGCAGAGCCGACGCGCCCCCTCCTTTGTGTTTTTTTCCAGCGCCTGCTGCCGGTGTCTGCAGCTCCGCTGTCTCGGACAAACTACACTCCTCTCACTCAGCGCCGAGTTCACTCAGCTATTTTCTGACGTTGAAGCCCAGAAACGGAGATTCTAGCCGCTCAGTAACGTGTTCACGACTGAAAGAGAAAGTTTTCCAACTAACGTCCAGACAGAGCCGATATAACTCCAGCGAGCAGCGACACGCTCAAACCAGCACGACTCTGTGGTTGTGTTTCCTCCCCGACACACAACAACGTGGTCAAGCTGCTCAGACATGTTCATCAGCACAAACCTATGTGAGCACCTGTTGTCATCTAATGTTGTCATTATTATGATGAAGATGAACAAAACAACAGGAGTCTCCTCCTCAGCTCAGATCAACCCCATGATGCAGGTATCTGGCTGGAACAGGTGAGCATCACAGTAAACCAGTGGAGCAAACTGAGCTTTAAATATGTTGGTTTGATGCTCTTTTTCTGCTCCAAAACATGAAAGTTAACAGGTGAGATGTAGCATTTTCATTTAAGATAAAATGATATTTTTATTTTGTTGTTGGCCCGTGAGAAAAGATTTAACCTACAGTAAACAGGAAGTGGAAAGGCTGCAGATAGATGATTAGAATAGAAAATCCCTTTATTGTTCCTCAGTGGGGAAAGCTAGACGTCACAGCAGCGATGACACGTATTACAGGAGAAAAAAAGGAGAATAAAAAATAAGAAAAATGAATAAACAAGAAAACATAAATCCTGAATAGATTTTTAAAATGCTGATTATACCACAAGTAATGAATACCACTGATGCCTTTTATTTAAAACTGACTTGCTCGTGTGTAATTTGGTTATTTCACATTCAATGTTAATGCAGAAATAAGTTTGTTTCCAAATTTAAAGGTTCAAAATTGCATATATGTTGATAAATAAAATGTGCAAATTTGCCGTCACTTTTTCAAAAAATATTAAGTTTGGCCCTCGACTCCGTCCCAGGGTTTCATTTCGGCCCCTTGTGAGTTTGAGTTTGACACCCCTGCTTTAGGTAGATCTAAATCATTTAGAATTTTGGCTGGTAAAAAAATAAGCTTGGCCGGTAGATTTTCATCATCTACCAGCCAACTTGGCCGGTGAGTAAAAATTTTATTTTGGACCCTGGCTGCAGCTGCTGTAACCATTTGTCATATGCATTCTTACTTATTTACACATGTTCACCAGCTGTCTCTCATTAAACAGTGAATTTCCTTCCACAGAATTAGCAATATCACTCCTGGGTGCTGGAAAAAGAAAAGGGAACATGCAGCACAGACTCCTGCAGGATCTTAGCTGTAGTTCTCCATCATCAACACTAGAGTTCATATTTTATTGTGTTCAGTGTTATCACTTTAAGTCAAATTATTTGTCCAAATAAAGTAGAGACCTCTGAATAAATATATATTTCATTAAGACTAAAAGATAGTTTGTTTAATGTCTTAAATTAGAAAAAATACTGTAATGTAAAGTACTTATGATTTTAGGCTTTTCTTTTAATTTACATTTGAAACTTTTTTGGGCCCCTAGACAGCAGTGGGCCCTTAGAATCGTGCTGACCTTTCCCCCTTTACTAGCGCGCGCACACACACACACACACACACACACACACACACACACACACACACACACACACACACACACACACACACACACACACACACACACACACACACACACACACACCTGTATCCATGCTGTCCAGATCCAGATGGTGAAGTAAACACGATGAATCAGTCCCAGCTGATGGATGATCCTGAAGTGGTAGCAGGTTTTCTTTAGCCGTGTTTAGCTAACAGCTGCAATAGAAACAAAGCAGGAGAGCTGATGAAGATGCTGCTTCAGAACAACTCATGAGATTAAAGATCCAACGCTTTGGTTCTGATCAGCTGAGGAAAAGAGGACCTTTGGTCACCAGAGTTCACGGAGTAGAGCTAACCGCTTTTTCCTCCAGAGTCACATTCAGATTCGGGGCTTTTCCGTCGGAGAGTGTGAGCAGGATGGATCAGAGAGCGAGCAGCGATGCTGCATCATGACCAACTCAGATGAGCGAGTCTGATAGAGGGAACCTCTTCAATCTGATGAAAGCAGCTAAACGAGCGCGTTTCTCAGAGAGGCCAAAGGAACAGCAGCAGACCCAGAGGACAGGAAGTCTAGAGAAAAGCTTTTCTGACCCATCACCTGCTTTTGGAGCTCCGATTGTCACGAAGACCGCAGAATATCTTCTCTGGTTCTGGAAAGAACTCGCACCAAGTTGTTGAGGAGGAGAAAGTTTCCACAGCCTGGTGAGAATATTTCTGCAGCAGCAGTTAGTCGCTTTAGCTGATCAACTCTCCCAGAGACTGAAGTGAAGACATTTTTACTGCAGAGCCTCAAATATTCACCTCACGCACCAGAACAACAACAAGCTAACTCTGCTAGCATCTTCCAGTTTTCTTTTTCTTCTGTTCAACCGTGTAAAGATGCACTACCGCCACCTCGTGGACACAAGTCCGTATGAACAGCAACAACCTGAGTGTTCAGTGTGTGACTAATAGACCACACATAACTAGTGATAGCTCCCACATGCAGTAACTTAACGTAAACACCAGTTATTTTCCCTCTCTTATAATATTGCTTTTATTAATGCAGTTTATTAAAAGTTGTGAAAAGAAGAAATAAATATTTTTCATTTATGATGTTCCATCATCTAAAATTAACCAAATCTATGTTTCTTTTGACTTTATGACCTGTAACCACACTGATATTTTTCCTCAGGGGCAGAAAAAACATTTTGGGAGATACTTTTTTTTATGTTGATTTGTTTTTCATTGAAGTAGCTCTGAGAAAAAAACAGAACAAGTAAGGTGCTAATTTGATGATTATTTATTATTACAAACATTTCATGTAATGCTTGATGAGGCCACCAGAGGCAGATGGTGAACGTAATCATTAACATATAGAAGGGTTTCATTAAAACCCATTCAACAACAGCCTCCGGATCTGTGGATCAGCTGAAACATCAGAAGCAGATGAGACGTTCATCAACACACAGACTCTTCAGATGCAGCAGTGGACATGGAACAGCAGTAAATCCATCACTCCTGAGTCTCTGCTGTAATGAAATAAATAATAAAAAATAAAATAGCGTTTTTAGCCCCATTGACTTGCATTCATTTTTTCGTTCTTCCGGGGACCCAAAAGTAGGTGGGCGTGACTTAGGCTCCCAATTAATTCAATAGGTGAACTAGTAGCAAATTTTCAACCACAAACTTTCTTCACCAGATGAACAGAATCTAAAATTCATGTCTTTAAGAAATCTGAACCAAATCCATCAGAGAGCAGAACCAGGAGCTGAGAGATGATGATCATTTGCTGCAGAGCAAGTTTTCTGTTAACACGTCTTTGAGAATCGTATTAGAGCTCAGATCCTGTCAGACTGGTTTCTTTAGGGATTTTCACAGCTTTTCTATTCTTTAATAAACTCACGTCAGATCGATATCATTTACAAGAGTCACTCTGATGTGATAAAAGTCCAGCAGGAGCTAAAGTCAGATGGAGATGAGTTTCAGTTCTGGGAGTTCTGCTGTTTGTGATGGTTGAAGTCTAGTGGATCAGTGTCTAAGGTCAGAGTTCATTCTGGACTGGACTTTTATGTCTGAATGGTTCACAGGTCGAAGTTCAGTGTCTTAAATTAAAACCTTAATCTGAAAATAAGATGTTAGAAATACTGGAGAACATATCCAGTCCACCTTAAAGGCTTCAGGAAGTAGTTTTTCTCTGATGTTAGACAAAAAGCCCAGTCACATCATTGCTCCAGCTCCTCATGTTCATGGGCCATTTTAGATGATGGAACATCATTAATAAAAATAATAAAAGAATATATTTATTTCTTCTTTTCACTGTTTTAATAAACTGCATTAATAAAAACAATATTATAAGAGAGGGAAAATAACTGGTGTTTACATTTAGTTACTGCCTGTGGGAGTTATCATTAGTTGTGTGTGGTCTATTAGTCACACACTGAACACACAGGTTGTTGCTGTTCATCACTCCGAGTAGGACCTGGCTGCAGACATCAGCTGGCGTGTCACCGGAAGAACTTTCTAGCGAGAACAAGATGGCGTGTCATTGCTTTTACCAGAAGATCGACGAGCGAAAGACCTCGGCCGGAAGTTGGTCTTTTTTGGCGCCCGCTTTTGTTGTCGATGGTTTCAACCATACTCGGCGGGTTTCAAAGAGGAAAGGTAAAGATGAATTTAACTAATTTTTGTAACCGTTCTTAAATGTAGGCACTTTAGCATTTAAAGCTTTACCAGAGAATTATTACAAAGGCACCGTGTTTCATAGCTAATTGTATCGATTTTAACACGCAGTCTTAAACTAATGCAGGGAGTTCACAAGCTAGCACAAAAGCTACATAAATAAAGCAATCAGCAATTGTAGCTTAGCTTTAACTTAGCTATTCGATTTTTCTGGTCTCCCTGTTTGTTAAAACAGTTAAAGTAATATTAACTTTATATATAATTTAGATAGGATATAAAGACCACGATTTCTAATACGGACTTGACTGAAACGTTATTATTTTTTAAATCAAAAAGCATAGATCTTCATAAATAAGTGGTTTCAATCACTAGTTTTCATACGAGGCTAAAGTTAGCTTCCGATTCGGGAAATGGCTAAAGGGCTAATACACCCAATTTTTCTCTACTCTGACCATTTTTTAATCTGCTCTAGCTCAAAAACTACAACACATACACTCTTTAAACCAGTTCTAGAATATTCTAGGCTCATAGCAGAATGCATAAAACAGTTTGTGATTTGTGAACTCTGATTTTTGAAGTTATTGTGTTTAAATGACTGAAAAAAGTACGTAATAACAAATAAAAACTAAAAAAAGGAATTTATTTTGCTTCAGAACTTGGTTTTTATCACAGATGCACATTTCCATGATTGATGTGGGCAAGGAGCTGACTGCATGTGCCATTGGCACACATTTTGGTTGTCCCTTGTGTCCTAAAGTAAAGCCAACATCTCTGAAGAAGATAAAGTTGCACTTTGAAGGGCATATAAACACTGCAATGCATTTTGGAGGTACATTTCTGATTATGATAATTGTGTTTTGCAGTTAAGAGTTTGTACATATGCCTCAAAAAGTTGGGCATTTATTTTAAAAAAAGTCTTTGCATGTTGTAAAATAGAGGTATTGAAATACATTTGCAATTTTAATCTGTTTTCATTTACACCAGCTCAGTGGTCTAGTGGTAGAGTGCCCACCCTGGGACTGGGAAATCGGGGTTCAATTCCTGGTCGGGTCATACCAACAACCTAAAAATGAGACCCAATGTCTCCCTGCTTGACACTCAGCTTTAAGGGGTTGGATTGGGGGGTTATGGCGCTTACACATTAGCGTTGGTATGGCTCCTTAAGGAACTATACGGTACCAGAGTTTGGTTTCAGACACAGGTCCAATATACATTCCAAGGCGACTCTTTTTTTTTTCAGACCTCCTCCCTAGTGGTGAGACTGGGACCGAGGTGATACTACAGACTGATTGGCCAGCTGAAATTACGCCTATTGCCTCCGATTAGCGAGTAGAATGAGCCAGTGGGGGGTTCCCGCATGCGCCATTCATTTGATTGATGTTGAGTAAACTTCTCTGTCTGTGGCACGGAGCTGCCGCTCAGTGGGAACAGGAGAAAAGGGAGAGCTGTGTGTGTGTGTGTGTGTGTGTGTGTGTGTGTGTGTGTGTGTGTGTGTGTGTGTGTGTGTCCCTCGTTAGCAAATAAATAGAATAATGTTGTTCAGAGTCTCCAAAAGCAACACAGCTCATGCCCGCCTCTGTTTACCTTATTAAGGAGGACACTTCGGTCTTTCCCGTGCGTGTTAAACACCGCCCACCGGCTCAGGGATTTCCGCATTCCTGAGAAAGTCCTTCGGATTTATATGTGAACACTACACCGCCCGTTCATGCCTTTCAGACCCACCAAGCCCCGGCTTTAAACTACCAAATAGTTCCCGAGCGCGGCTCACTGCTCCCCTCCATCAGAGAATCAGAATCAGAGAGAATTTTATTGCTAGTGCTCCAGCGAACCAGAGCATAGGAACTTGACTCCACAGAACAGCCTGACCAAGATTACACACACACATAGACAGGACAGATACAGGCAGACCATGAGAGCAGCCATAACAGCGCTCACGGGGATGGGTCAAATGCGGAGATGAATTTCGCTACTGTGTGATGATGACTATGGAACTTTAACTTAAGTATTGAAGCTGTACATAGTTGCTCTGTTAAGTAATTAAACCAATTCTCTTTCTCTTCTTACAGAAAACATTATTTGCAGATGCAATATGCCCTACAGAAGTTTGGCTCATTACCATTGTCCATATTGTTGTAAAACATTACTGAAAAAGGAGCAAATGGAAAGCCACATGAAGCTTTGCAACACTACAACAACTTTAAATGAAGTGACCCCAAAATGGAACCCGGTGCTGTCTGTGTCCACCCCAGAGAGGCCATCATTACACGACAATGACTACACATTGCTAGATTTGACACTTAGTGACTCGACTGAGTTTATGGCAAACAGTGATTGTGCACCATCACCTCCACAACTTGTGTTCACCGCAGAGAGATCAACATCACTTCCTGAGTTCACCACAGAGAGGCTACTGCTCCCTGACCATGACTACTGTTTGCTAGGTTTAAAATCTAGTGACTCTACTGAGGTTGTGGCAAATAGTGATTGTGCACCATCATCTCCACAACTTGTTTTCAGCCCAAAGAAATCAGCATCACTTCCTGAGTTCACCCCAGAGAGCAGTGTTAATTTTGTTGACAAAATATTTTTGTCTTTTTTTTTTCGTCAGGAAAATATATTTACAGACAAAAATGAAACAAAATTTCAAAATAAAAGCATGGAAAAAGACGAAGACGATAATTAAATTGATTGAAACTTTTAGTCAACGAATGAAGGACGAGACGAAAATCTACGATGACGCTCTTCTACATGGCGCTCTATGGTGCGGTGCGCCTATTGTGTTGTTGTGAGACGCGAACGTAGTTGAAGACAAGGGGCGTGGCGTGCCGTGAACGTGCGGGACGTGAACGAAGACAGACCCCGAATAGTATAAAGGGGCAGGTATGCGCGGTATGTTAAACATAGCTCACTGAATATATCGAGGGCATAAGAAGAAGGAGTAGAGGAAAATGTTAACTGCTGGATGAAAAAGAAGAGAAGATGTGTGGAATCATGCATTGCTACCAAAACTACATGCCGAGAGTGTGGACTGTCGTTCCGAGGAAAGAACACAACGAATCTGAAGAGGCATCTACAGAATGGCCACTTCGCCATTTTCTCCGAGTTAAATCCACTTAAATGTTGTACACGTGACGACCCGAAAAGTAATATGCAGGCAAATAAAACTGTATAGACTGTCATGTTAGGATAAAAATTCGGAAGTACCGTATTTTCACGACTATAACGTGTGTTATTAGGGAAATAGCGGGCGAGCAGTGTTGATGCATGATTGTGCATGTGCCGTGAGCGGTTCTGGTACTTTTTGGGTCACAGCCGCTCGCTGCACGCACGCTCTAAACCAGGACTAGACCAGTAAAGTGAAGCATGCTTTTGGTTGTTTATAATTTTCACAATGTCTGGTTTCTGCTTTCTCAATCCTACTGTGTGTCAGACCCTCCTCAATGTGGCTGATGATAACATTCAGGAGCTGCTCAAGCAGGCAGAAGAACCACTCTGATCTGGAGGAACTGAATGGACCTGAACCGGCACCACCCGCCGCCGCCTCCTCTTCATCATCTGACAACCAGTCTTTAGGTTTCTCTCCAAATTCAGAGCAAAGCCTAAACCAAAGTCTTCCAAGTGTAGAGTTGGACAGCAGATAAGCCAGTATAAGGAAGAGCTCTCACAGTCCATCCCTTGTGAAACGGGAATGGAGTTTTGGCTTGGAAAATGTGACACATTTTATCACAGCCTGAAACCATTAGCATTAGATATATTGGCAATGCCAGCTTCTCAATCTTTTGCAGAAAGAGTGTTCAGTATCACAGGTGACCTCACTAGAGGGAAACATAACCGAGCAAAGGTCACACTA